AAAAATAGACAAACAGAAGAAGAAACACTCTGTAAAATACAACACAGTGCTTTTCTTCTGGACAATTAACTCCTTTCTTGAAAAATCTGGTTGTTATAGTACACAAAAGATGGCCAGTGGTGAATCTTCCATTTACAGAGTTCTTCCACTGAGCCCCCAAAGTTGAAGAACCGCAATTTTACTAGACCCATAATTTTTAGACTCTAAAATTACAAAGGTTTCCTGACACTGTTAACTTGTCCTACTGTTGTTTTGTTTAAATAATAGCATGTTTGTCACAGAAAAGTATGTAATTCAAACTAATATGTACTTTCTTTAAAATGCCTACATTATATATTTTGGTGTTAAAAAACATGTTAAGTGTATACTTATCTATCGTATATTATAAACTGGTTTTTTTGATCTATGTCCTACAATGCTTCTCTAAAAAGCTGGTCACTCTAGACTAGGAATAGGTTTACATTTTTTTTTTAAAAAGACATTTCACATGATGGCTGAACATTTTTAAAAGACTAGTTTTATAAAAATATATATATTCTAAAGGCAAGTTGATTCACTTTTACTGGCTCTCTTATCTCCCCCAAATCCTTGATTTTATTTTGATACCATATGTATTTGGGGGGTAGGAGGTGAGAGGGCAGTAATTCAACAGAATCAAATATTTGCAAGTCAAAGAAATATTCAAAGATTGGAAGAATGTAAACAGAATTTGTGACCATAGAGAGGCAATATTTCATTATGATGTTTTTCTAAAATAAAAAGGTTTAAAAATATTCAAACTGTTATTTTACTAGATGATGCCTAGCAGAGAGCAATGAAATCAGAGAATTAAAAAAATACTTTGCCAGTGATTTTAGATGTTGTTGTTTCATATGAAAAAAATACACCTCTTAGAGGATCACAAGAAAGCATTGGAAGCCTAAATCCTAGAATCTTTCTAGATTTAGATGAATTTATAGTTTATAATGATGTTGATGTAGCTAATGATAGACAGGGATCTGTGCCTTATTTCTGTAACAGAATTTAAAAGGAATTTATATTGCTAGTAGGAAATCTTAGTAGACTTGAAATCGTTGAGAATATAAGAAAAACACTTTTCCTTACTTTTGATTGTGAAAGAGATGTAACCCATCATAAACAAATGTGTTAGATTATAAGGTATGTTCACACTGAGTACTGTCATAATAGAATAAAGATATAGTAACCTGATTGAAGTAAAAAAAATCTTTTCCATATGAATAAGCTTAGGAAATTATCAACTGGAAAAAAAAATGATATTGACATACAGATGCTTTTGGCCAGAAAAAATGATAACGGAGCAACTATGGCAGGTGTATAAAAGGGTAGAAGCCATCATCTCCTCCCCACAAATGATTATGCCACGTTTGTGCCTTGCTCTGCTCACAATTTTATGTGCAAAACTTCTGTGTCTGAATTCAAATATGATAACCATTTTAAGTATTTTATAAAGAACTTAAAGAATATTTTTGCACATTCAATGATCAGCTGGGCTATTCTTATGTCTGTTCTAAAAACCTTTTAGACACATAAGGATAGCCAATGGACATCAAGACCAGATGCAATCAGGGCATTTCCACACAAATTAATATTCACCCAATACTAATATATGTAATATCAAATGAGGAAATACACTATGATGAAATCGAAAGCATCTTGGTGCAAATAGACCACACATTTTTATGCAACTTATCCATGTGGGATATTCTGAATCAAGTGTTAAAAGATCATAAAATCCTTCAATGAGAAAACCTGATAATATATAAAGCTTCATACTTATTTGAAGGCCTATCTCCTAATTACAACAAAAGAAAGTAATTTTGCAAGTATCTTGATGCATATAAAACTTCAGCAACACATGTGAATATACTCTCTGAATTAGAAAACAAACAAAAGAAATTGGAAATGTATGAATCACTGGATTAAACTACCAGTTATTACAAGAGGCATACTTAAAAGTATTAGGATATTATAGACATTCTCATTTCACTTTTGAAATGGAAATATAAAAAAATTAAACTGTCTTCATATTTTAATTGGTGAAAAATTAATTTTCAATGAATACATCTGATTTATAACAGCCACTGACTTAGCTCTCAAATATTCTGCTGACTTGTCTAAAATTTCATGTTCAATTATTTTAAGCAGGATGCAATATCAATGATTTGCATTTTAAAAATCACCATCATGTTTTGATCCTCTAAAATTGATTCACAAATTTTGCTTAGCGTATTCTTATCTAAATTTGGAAATGGACTTCATGTATTTTTTTAATGTTGAGGTACTGTGAAAGATGTTTCAGTAAGTTTAAAGTAATTAAAAATTAAAATTATAAAACATGGCAATTCTGTTCATTTAAAAGAAGATACACTAAGAAATGTATTTTTAAAATATTATTGATGTTTGCTTCTATTAAGGCCAGGAATGTAAAATTGTAATAAATTTTGGTTTTGGTATATTATATTTAAACTTAAAATAATGTTTTAATATACCTACTTTTCAGTATTTTTTCAACTACTTTAACATTGTAGGAAAATTAACAATTTAAAAACTAGTAAGAGTTATGTATGTACTGACATACACTTTTTCTCTCACTTCTGGATTCAGTATGACTTGGCTGGGCACTGGCCATATACCCTACTTACTTTCCTGGAAGGTCCCAACACTTCATATATTCATTTCCTGACTTGATGTATTTCCCTTTTTCTAAATTTGTAGTAGGATTTCTCTCCAGCAACAATCCTGAGTCTGTAAACAACAACAACAAAAAAACTATAGCATGCTAAATTTGGAGTCATCAAATCTCTCAATAAATGGATACTTTTGTAAAATAAATCTTGCTAAAATATTATATGAGAAAGCAAAGAATAAAACTCATGGGAACAGCCCAGAAAAATGAAAGGTTTCGGTGCTTGCTAATTGAGAAATGTGTCTCTACAGAAGGCTCCACAAAGCAGTCAGAGCTACAAGAAGAAAGCTTTTAAGTCACTATTGACAGGGCACCAAGTTCGTCCCACAACCAGGAGGCACCTCTTTCAGGAGGCATGTCCTAGTACCACTAAGGTAACAAAGATTTCATGCTACTTTACATGTGTATAGGCCCATCAATGCTTACTCAATAAGAACAGTGTTCTCTCCCTCTCTTTTATATTGGTATAAAGGAGTCTTTTGCTGGCAGAATTGTTTTATTTCCCCAACCAAATGAAGGAGTCCTTCTCAACACAAATTTTCTAATAAAGTATCCCTAATGTCAAAAGAAAGCAAGCCGAGATCCTGGAGATACAACTCAAAGCTGTGTCTTTTATTATGTTAAATATTTACAGATTTTCTATTCTACTCCATATCCTGATGCTTATTTTGATATATTAAAACAGAATAAGGGTGGCTCCATAGTGTAGTGGTTAGCATATCTGTTTTACATGCAGAAGGTCCTGGGTTCGCGTTCCAGGTAGAGCCACGGACCATACTCCAGGTGTGCCAGGCTCCAGGTGCACGCCCCAGCGTGTGGGAGGAGATGCCCTGCCTTCAGAGATCCAGTTCTTAAGGGGAAACCGCAACATCCATAGGTCAGGGGTGGAAATGGGGAGGGGATTAAAGAGGTGGGGAAAAAATAAAATAGAGTAGAAAAATATAAAAGTAAATATTTCATATGAAAATTTCTCAAGTTTCTTACCAATAGGAACTGAAGTTCCTGGGAGATGTATCATGTTCATATACAGTGAAACTGTGTAGACTGTGGCACATTAACTAATATTCCTGAGTAGTCCACAGTGAATAAACTTAAATCTTGGGTACTGAGCCCAAAATTTCTGCTTATTCATTTTACATACCATAAGCCATAGTTTGTTTTTGTAATATTGTTTTAAAGTACTTACTATCAAGGACAATCGACATTGTAGGAAGATGGACCGTATTTTGTGACTTCAGGTACTCCTTAGCATACTTCATGGGTACCCAGGTTCGGAAGCGGTCTGATTGGTTCAAGTTCACGAACCATTGCTTCCTAAACTTGTAGAAACACCTTTAAAAAGAAATAAGTAGCTTTGTAATGCATTTTAAAAAACAAAGGACTGACACTGGGTGTTTGGGGGTATAGAGGAACCCTCTATACTACCTTTACAACTTTCCTGTAAAATAGTCTAAGTCTATTTTAAAAATTATTTTTTTTTAATTCCGCCTTTTTGAGGAACCAAGGGCTAGTACTTGCCTATATGACTTTTCATTTATATTATAACCTGAATAACAGGAAGTCTTAAACTTGTTTTAATTTTCCTACGCTCTAGTCTCCTTTGAAATGAGCTCATTTTTGGGCTACTGCAGTTTTTAGGCTTCGATTTTTCTATTTTTGACAGTTTTCCTATCTTACTATGTTGGGAATAGTGGGGAAAGTAATCGTTTTAAGTATTACCCAGGGTCTGGGGGACAAACTGGTCAACGAAAGTGATAACGATCTAAGGGAAGAAACTGGACAGGTAAAAACCCTCAGAGAATTCGCCTCCAGCTCGGCTATTAAGTAGAAGTATGTGAGGATCCAGTCATTGCTGGGCAAATAGATAAAAATTGGAATTAACATCTTCTAACGACAGACCCTAATCTAGCCACTTATTCACCAAAACAAAGGAAAACCATTAACTCCTGAGAGTGGCAGCACCCGAGGGCAAGCGGTACTCCAGGCTCACAGGGAAATTACTAGAAGAGGGTCCTTGGCCTGGGCTCTCCTCAGGATCTCGCACTCCTCGTGGAAGGCCGGGGTGCGGGCAGAAGAACGTTGCCAGGTACACCCGCCAAAGACCCGAGAGTTAAATTCTCTACACACAGCGCCTGAAGGGCTCCGGCAGCAGGCGCGCGGCGAGCCCCGGAGCGACCCACGGAGACGGCTCACTGCGCATGCGGAGGAGCCGGCCGCGCGGGCGGCGGGTCGCACCGCGCACGCGCACGCGCCGTTCTCCTGGGCGGCGCCCTTTTTCCTTGCGGCAGGTGAAAGGCGGCTACGCTTTCTCGCCCTTTGGCCCCGCCCTCTGCGCGGCTCACCCGCCAGCCGTTGCCATGGGGACCCAGGGGCCACTACAGGCCTTTGCTGCGCGGGCTGCCTGGTGTCCTCTGCAAAACTGGCGTTGGCGACAGTGGGAGGTCATGGAGCTTTCAAGAAACTCCGTCGACGAGATGAAGAAGAGGACAGGCCTGGGCCATTGCCGGCATTTTTTCTGGCTGGGCGTCATCTTCGACATCGTGGGCGCGACGGCGCTGTTCACCGGGGCCTTTGCCGACCTGTCCCACTGCGGCCTGCTGCTCTACCTGGGTTCCATCATCGTCTTCTTCAGCCTCCTCTGGTGGGTCTTCTGGTACTCCGGCAACATGGAACTGACTCCCGAAGAAGTCTGGAAGGGGCCCTTACAAGGGCTCTCCACCACAGTGCTGGACACTCTAAGGCAGAACGTCAGTCACAGGTTCTCTTGGAGCTTCTGCGACGTTTCCACTACCTTTATGCGGATCCGGCGGCTGCGGGCCCGCAGGAGAGCCGGTCCTCTCATTCTGACCGTCACAGGCCAGACAGCGGAACGGACAGAAGAGGAGGACAAGGACAAAGACGGAATGAAAAACATCAAGAAGAGTAGCGATGCCGAAGACTGTGGCAGAGAGGATGTGGGCCCGGAACCAGAAGCTGTCCAAAGTTCAGAAGGAGTTTGCCTCCCAGGTCCTGATGCTGGTCCTCTGGGCCCCGAGGCGGGTCGGCCGACGTTTGTTGAACGACTGTGGACCCAGGAGGTGGAGTCAGAAGTCACTCCATCTCCTCTGAACCAGCCTCTACCTCCAGCCATCCTCACCTCCGTGGTCCCCTTGTCCTCTGCGAGCCAGCCTCCAGTCATTCATGCCTCTATAAGCCTCCCCTTGTCCTTTTCAGGTCAGCCTCTGGATACCCTAGCTTCTAAGAACCTGAATATACCCCTGATGGTCTCACAGAGCCACCCCTTGGTCTCTGTAGCCCCACAGGGAAATTTCCAGAATCTTTCTCTGGCCCCTCAAACTCAGCCTCAACCTGCTCAGGCTTCCAAAGACCAGGCTCTGGCCACCCCAGTCTCTGTGATCCAGTTTGTGCCGGCCTGGTCTCTTAAAGCCCAACCTGTGGACCTGAGGGTCATCCTGGCTGTCCAGGACTTTCCAGCCTTGTATGAAAACCAACAGGCCCCTCAGAGCAGTGCTTTAGTCCGAGAGATTGCTCTCAGCCAGTCTTCACTTGCCCGGGACATTCCTATAAAGCCAGTTGCTTTGAAGACTGTACCACCAGCCAGCCAGGAACTAAGTCCCTGACACTGTGTCTCTGCTCCCCAAATCTGTACCACCAGCCAGCCAGGAACTAAGTCCCTGACACTGTGTCTCTGCTCCCCAAATCCCCAGCTCCAGCTTCTCAGGACCAACAGTCAGTGCCCCATGAGAGTGCATCTGCCCCCGCCTGGGAGAAGAACAGTCGCCCTCTCTAGTACAGAACCAATCCCCAGCCATCCGAGTGGCCTCTCAGGCCTCTGCCAAGTAAGTGAGTGCCTTGGAAGGAATTTTCACCCACAGTATTGCTTGATTGCTCCCGGGACTGTGTTCCAGTCATTTCCTCAACCCCTTCTGTTTGAAAAAAAGTTAGTAGAGGTAAAGTGGCCTTTTCTTTCAGGGTTTAGATCTTTGAAACTTTGGTAGGTTTTGAAACCTAGGGCCTTGAGCCATAAGGGTTTACCTACTCCACCAGGTACTAATGTGATCAGTTGCTTTTATTTAGGCCTAGTCTGGAGAAGGAGGTAATTAACACTTCTTAGAGCCCTAAAATGGGAGTGAGGAGGGACAGCAGTGTTTCTGAAACAAGATGATTTTAAGTGGTACAGGGACATAGCATTAAATAGCAGTAAGCCCTCCAGAAGGAATGTTACTTTCTTTCAATTCTAGTTTGAGGGTTAGTGATCTCTAACACCTCCTAACGTTTTAGTAGGCAGCAAGTGCACTCAGGATTTAATACCATTTGTGTTAATAAAGTTATTTCAGTGGATAACGTCTATTTATGCCAAGTGTTTTTCTACTTATAATAGTGATGGTTGCCTTTTGAAATACATTTAAGTAAAAAAAACACTTTGCATGAGTCAACTTAAAGGTTAAAAAGTTAATTGTAGATGAAATTTGATTCTGAAGTTTGGAAAACATTTGATTATTTGTACTAAATCACATGAGCTTTCTACTAAATCACAAGACCCTTTGTGCTAACCTGTTTGATGAACTTTATGGTTAAAGTTGTTGAAGGTGAATTCCACTTAACTCCCCAAGTCCCTGGCAATTAGAAAGGTAGAAAAGACCATGTGAACATCAGAATTGGTGCCCCTGCTTCTATGTGAATTAAGTGCTGTCATAATAGTATACCTCACTGAGTATCAATTTCCTGGTCTTTCTCTCTAATCCTGTTCTATAAATTACCTGCTCTTTAGTGGGGAGGGCGGAAGAGTATGGGGCATAGCAATCTTTTGGAGATTATGCTATGCTCCTTGTTGCTTAAATGTACCAGCATATTATCCAAGATGTCCATCCTTATTTCATATTGGTTGGTCATTCCCAACATATGCTAAAACAATATTAAGTGGAATTCAAACTTCAAATTCTTAAAATATTTTCTAATTCTCTTTTAAGAGAATGTTTATACATTCTCTCTCTAGGTGTGTACACGTATATATATTCCAAAGATAATCTGTAGAGGCAAAGCATTTTGGCTTTTTTGGTTTTGTATAATTTGCACACTTGGATTCTAAAATGAAATACATTCAGTGATTTAGTTCTATTAAAAAAAAAACAGCAAAATGCTAACAAACAATAATTCCAGAAGGATTTATTATTACTGAAAAAGATGATTAATTTTTTCCCATTAATTCTATTTGTTCAGGTAATTTATATGATTGAAATAATTCTCCTTGTAATTCTTGAAGGAGACTTGAGCACTTACTAAGTGACAGGAATAAAGATGAAAGGATGCAGACCTTGCATATCACAAAGCTTATAGACTTTGCCATTTAACTCAAAGGAGTGACCCTAATGGGAACATTTTAAACAAGGAAGGAGAAAGAGTAGGCTGGTTCCTACTAATAATTCTTAATGGAAGAATTATTTTTTTGACAGGAAGAGCCTTTCACATAATTCATTAACCAGACATTTATTGAATTTCTAACAAGTGCCAGGCATTATATTAGGCACTGAGGATCTAAAGCTAAAATGTCCCTGCTTTCCAAATGCTCACTGTTTATCAAAGGAAACTAAGGTAGGAATAACGCGAACACAGGCCAATATAACGAGTCTAGTCAAAGTGCTTTCAGAATACAGATGTGGGATGGGTGAGAGATTTTTGAGTTGGATCCTAAAGTAGGTGTTTTTTGAGTGAAGAAGATGGGAAGATCATTGCACATGAAGGGAGAAGCATCAACAGAAAGGGACAGAGGTGGAACAATTGTGGTTTGTTGGGGACATATTTGGGAAAGGATAGCTATAGGCAAGGGCATTTGGGATGCAGAAGTTGGAGAGTGACAGACAGACACACCAATGTCTGAAGGCTTTTTAAGCAGAGTATTTTGTGTTCTTAATTCTACCTGTGGGCTCTGTTATAAAGTAATGGCAGTAGGCCAGTAATTAGAGAATTGCCAAGGTGTCTTCCAGTTCTAAGCTGAAAACAGATTTCTTAGACGTTAGCAACAGTTTCTAACCAAAGCGTAGGCTCCATGGGTATTTATTTAAGAAAACACTTTCATATGTTTATTTACTTGTACCTAACTTTTTTTTTTTTTTGCTACAAGTATAACATCAGGTAGAATAAACACCAAATGTTATGACATTTCTCTCTATGGCAGTAAAATAAGTACTTTCTAACATAGGGGTTGACAGATTTTCTGTTAAGACCCAAATGGCAAATATTGTAGGCTCTATGGCCAAAAAGCAAAATCAAGGATATTATGTAGCTATTTATATATAACAAAAGAGAAAACTCCTTCTCCCCCTGTTTGCCTGGTGTAGGCAGTGCAGTTGCTTTTACCCCAGTTGCATCAGCTGAAGTCATGCACCTGACCAAGAGCAACTGGCCTGAGCGGGAGGGGCCTGGCTGGTCAGGCCCGCAGCCAACACAGTGTATTTCACTGTGCCCCGGTGGCATCCAGATCTGAGGATGCCATTCTCTCAGAAAACCTGGCCATCTCATCTTGGCCTGCTGGCCTGAGGAGAGACAATTTGCCATGTCTCTGACTCCCAGATTGAGATTCTACTGTCCCGTGCCAGGCATTTGCCAACAGTGGAGTCTACAGGGTATATATAGGTGGTGATGCTTAGGCCCTGAGCAGTTTGCAGGCCAGACAGGCAGGCACTGGGTGCTCTAGGGGAAGCAGGGGTGGAAACTGATTGGATTTGGAGGTTCACGGCAATAGCCGACAGCGATACAAACAGAGTGGAGAGGGCGCATCTAGTGTCTAGAGGTCAGAGGTGCTACAAAACACTCAAGGCACAGGCTAACCTCTCACATCATGGAATTCTCCAGCTCAGACATCTTGTGTGAGGTTGAGAAACTCTGATCTTGAATAATAAAAAATTGCTCTGTAGTTCATGAGATACTTAAAAAAATCCCATTTTGATCCTCAGATGAATCATTGCCTCTTATATAGTAATCTACCAGACCATGAAGATCTTATTCATCTTCGTTTTACTTACCTTTGTATTCCCATTTTGCGTCATCTTTTAATCTACACTCTTATGGGGAATTTATTAACAATAATAGCTGACATTTATTGGGTGTTTATAATGCATTACACACTATAGTAAGTAATTTTCTGATGTTATCTCATCTCACAACAATCAGAGGTAGGCATCGTTATTATCTTTACTTCAAGGAAGTTAGATTTGGTATTGAGAGGATAAGTAATTTTCTCAATGTCACATAAATGGATGAGCTGGAAATTATATATAATTGATGTATAATTTGTTAAAAGGTGTATATTATAAGCTTTCCTTCCAAGTTAAAGTTATTAAGAGCCTTTTCCTTAATCCTGTTAATTATAACTTGAGCTGTAATACTCTAGTCAATGGGTTACTTCTCTTGTTAAAGCCTCACTTTCAGAGAGAGAATGAAAGTCAGCAACTCTTTAATTTTTTGTTACATTCTATGTTTATAAATGTCATCTCAAATAAAAATTGCTTTTTTCTTTTCAGAACTCACCAATGTTTCTACAGATTTAAGTGCCAACTTTGTAGAAGCACAGATACTTACATTAATCTATTTTGGAAACTGCCATCTGGAATCCTGGCCAACTCAGACCAGCAAACTTACTAGACACCTCCACCAAATATACATGTTTTAGTATTAAGGAGAGTTTTCTAGTTCAGATAATAAAGTTATTCATTGATGGGATTTTAAGCCATAATAAACTATGCCATTCCAAGTGAACTTTGTTTTAAAATAAGGTTTTTTTTTTTTTTTTTAGATAGACTTCTCTCTTAAGAAAGCTTTCCAGTGTTCCAAATGTAAAATAATGTCTCATGTACTCTGGGTGAAGATGTAAGTAAGTATAATTCCTAAGGAAATGGACACTGAAAATGCAACTCCTTGCATTTAAGGATATTTTATGACCTGATTAGCTGTCAGAAAGTTTAACACAATCAATGCATGATAGCATTCTACAACTTATATTTATATGTTCATTTGATTTAAGTAACATCTGAATTTCCCTTTTCCCCGAGGATTTAAAATCTGCTGATTTGATTGCATGTTTTAATGCTAATAAAATAAAATTCATTTGCGACTGCCCTCCTTTTATGATCTTTCTTTGAACTGGTGGATTGTTTATATAAGAATATTAATACAGGAGTAGTTTCCTTTTGAAATTTCTAGCCACAGGCAAAGATACCTTTTTTAGGTGTTAACAATACTTTGGATCAAAACTTGCAAAATTTTTGCTGTTTTTATATGTCTTCTCCTTTTCTGTCCTATGCGTCAGTATTTCTATATTTATAAATTTCAAGAATTAACTCAGGCCAGAAGACTTTGCATTATAGATGCTTGGAGAAAGAATAATTGGAAGGACATTATACTAAGTGAAATAAGTCACAACAAGACACATACCATAAGATTCCACTTAGATTTCTAGAAAATCAGATTCATAGTGACGAAGTAGAATGATAGCTGCGATGGCCTGGGGAGGGTGGGTAATGGGAGTTGTTTAATGGTATGGTTTCAAATGAAAAGAGTTCTGAAGATTGGTTGCACAATAGCGTGAATGTACTTAGCACTGTTGAATTGTACACTTAAAAATGGTTAAGATGCTAAATTTTATGTGTACTTTACCACAATGTTTAAAAAAGAATAATTGGATTAAATCAGCAATGTATAAACCATATGCCATTTGTACATTTTTAAGTAATAAATATATGTAAAATTGAGCTTCTATATATAAAATGCAGTAGGTTAGCACAGTTGTTTTAAAACTCCAGAACTACAGTTAGGAACTTAGAGAAAAATCATCTTTAATGTATGTACTACAGAACAAAGGACTTGATAAGTGCAAAGGACATTGTAGAGGTGTGTGTGTGTGTGCGTGTGTGCGCACGTGCCCCTTGTATTTGCAGGGACTACAGAAAAGCCTTTTATCTTGCCATAGCTAATCATTACTAATATGATTGAATTTTATCTTGGGTAAATAGAGGTGGCTCTTAAGAACTGTGGTTAGTGAATGTCAAGTGCTACCAACAGTTCCTAGAAGTAGAAGATGGTCTCCCAGAAAGAAAAACGGAAACAGCTTTAATCATCTTAATGAATATAGGTGTTTATGTATTTTCAAAACATTAACCTTTTCTGATTTATTTTTTCACATTCTAAAAGAAATGTTTTTATTGGATGGACAGATTTTTAAAATTTAAATCTTTGGCTAGGTAATATATTTCCATATTACAAAATTTTAAAAGCATAGATGGCACATGCTGAAATCTCATTACAATTCAGCACAGTGCTACTGATAGACATTAAAGATGTTATATCAATTTCTTATAAATCCTTTCATTTATATAGATTATATATAGTCATTGTATATATCATTCGTTTATATATATAAAGCACATGTATATTTCAGTGTTTATATACTGTTCAGCACTTCGCTTTTTTCACTTAACATACGTCGGAGATCTTTTCATTTTGAGAGTTAAAGAGCTTTCTTATTTTTAATGAACATAGTACTCCATTTAGTGGCTGTATTTTTGTTTCTTGTTGATGGACATTTTGGTTGTTTCTAATCTAATAAATGTTTTTAAGCAATAATAGATATGGACCTAATAAATAGATATGGACCAATCAACTACTAAGTTTTTAAGCAATAATAAATTTAGACCTAATAAATAGATATGGACCAATCAACTACTAATGATTGACCACTGACTTTAAGAATTCCAAAGGCCATTTAGTCTACTTCTTTTCCTTTCCCCTCCAAAACTAACAAAAATCATAGTGACCTGCCTAAGATTGCATAGCTAGTTAATGGCAGAGGCTGGACTAAAATATGACAGCCCTGAGTTTGAGCCCTCTTTCCAATAAATCAGTATAATTACAATCTCACTGAATTTTAATTAGTCTGCTTATCTTAGAGATTTGAAATTTAGCTCAGAAAAGATAATGAAGCATTTTATATTTCCCTTACCACCAGAACATACTAATTTTTTAAGAAATAGTACAGGAACATGGTTTTTGGTTTTTGTTTTTTTGTTTTTTAAGTGAAGTAGTTCGAAAAGCTGTACAGTGAAAAGTAAGGCTTTCTCCAACCACTGATACCACTCCCATCCCTTCAGTCCACTATGGCCATTTTCCAGAAGCAGTCATTGGTCATTGTTATTAGCATCTGGTGTACCTATCTAGAGTCTGTACAAAACTCCGTGTGTGTGTGTATGCTTTTTCATACTACTGTTCTGTACCTTCCCTTTATTGCTCCCTTTATTAAAGTTTCTCTAAAGTTGTTAATGTGCAAGTTAAATCTGATTTTACAGGTTTGTAAACTTGAAGGCTGCAATATCTGTCTGTCTGTCGGTCTATCTGTCTCTCCTTTGTATCTCCCACAGGACATGTAAAATATACTGAAGTATTTTGGACTTAGTTTTATTCTTGGTAATTAAGGTCATACATGATATCATCCTGAATAAGAATCGATGTATGTTCCTAGTCAGTACTCTTCTAAGCATTTGATTTAATATCTCTGGCATAGTGAAAACTCAGTTGTGAAAAGGCTAGAGATAATGACAGTAAAAAACAAAATAACAAAATTCAAAGCCTTATTTTAACGTTTGGTCTTACCCAACTCTTCTAAAGCTGGAGTTACTAAAACGTGATTAAATTTATTTTATTTAGTTTATATTAAGTGCTAGGTACTACATGGAACACCTAGATGATTCTGTCTCTGCAGAAATCATTTCCTTTCTGAGTGCAACTTTAGGCTCTGTCTGGTATAACTAAGGCTTCCAATACTACACAGTCCACAAAACCAATGTGAATTCCCCATCATCTTAAAATCTCTCACGGCTTGACTTTGCTGGACAAAATGGCATGGGGCCATTCGTTATGATTAACAAAATGTTGTAGTACTTTTGGAAAAATAGAAATAGGCAGTAATTAAGAATTTAATTCATTTCGGCAATAGTCTGGTTTGATCAGCCTGAGAAGGAATATTTTTCTGGTTCTTGTTTCTGAGCTGGACTGAAGAGGGTAAGCTACTAGTTTAACCCTGTGAGCTAGGTCAAGGCATACTGCTCTAGGGTCTAATGCTGCTTCTACTGTGCCATTCTTCCCTCTTAACATGCTTTTATATCATACAGTATGTATCTGCCATACTATTTTTATAAATGGAGAAATGGGTCATATAACAATACAGTTCTAAGGCTTTCTTTATCCTCTGTTATGGAAGTAAATTTTTCATTAAATGATTTACTGTGGAGAAGATTTTCCAGTACAATTATCAGATTATACCATGGTGAATTGCTGTTAAAATGTATTACTTAGTCTGAAACTTAACATCCGCTAAGCTTAGATTGCTGTATCTTTTTGTCTTGCTCTGCGAAAGGTCTACTATAGAGTAATTTGACTGTAAAGAAGAAGAAAGAAGGAGTATTGGCATTACTAAAGGATTCCCAGACAGTTATTCATTTATTTCAGGAATCCAATTTTGGCTGTTTTCTCAACTGATCCGCTTCATCTCAGCCACCACTACCATCCTCCGAAAGAATATCACCTCAACCCTGGACTGTTAACTCAAACCCTGAGAGATATCCCTTTTTCTGCTCTTGCTATGGGATCTTGCACCTACTTTTCTCCCTGCCCTCAAAGCAGTCTCCCCTCACAGCCTCCTGGCCCTTTCACCCTTAGTGATTCTTAGATTTCAACTCAATTACTACTTTTTCAAGGAAACCTCCCTGAGCTCCTCAAAGAGGTTAATTCTGCCCATTATAGAACCACACAGCACCATGTGTTCTCCTTTAAGGACTTTGTTAAATTTACATTTGATCAGTATTTGTTTCTCTCATTAGATAACTAGCTCCATGAGGGCAAGGATGATTAGCATTATTATTTGCTCATCTTGTATCCCCAGTGCCTAGCACAGAGCCTGGTACCTAGGTATTCAATAGATATTTGTTGAATAGATGAATGTAGATGTTTACTACTGTTAGATTGAAAGTCTGTAGACAAAGATAAAGCTGAGGTTAGGTGGTCCCTACCAGACCCAATTAGAAAAACAGATAAAACTAATTTCTGAAATTGTGCCAATAAAACAATAGAAAACATTGATTTACAACTGAAGTCAGATACACTTGCCTTATGACGAATTGTGGAGGGGAAAGTAAGGTACTTTTCTCTGTAGTATTCTCTTGGGAAAAATCTGAAAAACATTCCAAATAGGCATTAAGCAGCATGAGGTTCTTGTATATTACCACCATTGTTTTCCAACAGAATATGATAGTGCTTTTTTTCATGTTCCCCAAGAAAAAGATAAAAATGCAAATGTTATGACTGTTTACAATATAATTTTGTATATTATGTTTTACTTTTTGTTTTCTAATTGTTTCAAATATGTTTTGTGTCTTCAATTGGACTAAAAGTTTACTAAGGCTATACTTTATACCACTGGTTCTTAATTTTGGCAGTATTGCCCCTCAGGGGACATTTATCAATGTCTGGAGACATTTTTGCTTGTCGCAATGGGGAGGGGGGGTAACAGTACTATCATCTGGTGGGTAGAGGCCAGAGGTGCTGCTAAATACCCCCAAATGCACAAGACAGCCTCTTTGCCTTATAAAGCATTACATTGTCTGGCCTAAAATATCAATAGTGCCAAAGCTCAGAAATTCTTCTTTATACTTCTCTATAGTACTGGGACAAAGAAGGCTCTAAATTGTCTTTAGAGAA